CAGCAATGATAATAATAATGATGGTAATGATAATGATGATTATAATGATAATAATACTAGTAATAATAATGAAGAGGAGGATCTGACTTGTTGCGTTAGTTCCCTCCCCTCCGTGCTTTTTCTGCAGTCGGGAGGAATCGATTGATCATTTCTTTTTAACCCTTGGAAATCTGGTTCTGGAATAATACGACAGAACCAATTATTCTTTCTTTTAGGGACACCACTCTGGGCTACAGCCACAGGTATGTTTTATTCGCCACTGAGGAATTCATCAGTTAGTCTACAAGAGTATTCAGCCGAAAGTCTGCTTGTTTTAAATGTCCCATTGCCAGCTTTTTTCGTACCTCAATTCAGCGTAATAGTTGGTATACAGCGAGTAATACACTAGATAAGATACTAGAAAAAATTTTTGAGAAGATTAATTCGTCGCGAAGACCAGGACGAATTCAGGGCGCACTGCTCCAACTTGTAAGCACGCCTCAACGACACGTGCAGTGCACGCACTGAACTCCCCGGTCAGCTTTAATCAGTCGCCACGGCAGCAGCGGTTAATTGTTCCCCGAACCTGTGAGTGGCGGGCCTGCGTATGTTTAGCTTATGCGATTAGTAGATATGCTACTAGCATGACCTCTGGCGCGGAAAATACGTACGAGGAACACATCGGTAACTTGGCTACATAATTTAGTGAACAGCGGCCTTTAGTACAACGGGTTGGGCGCTATTTCAGCGATTGATTGTTTTCCCTATCGCTAACTTTGCGTATAGATATGAAAAAAAAACAAGTATAGTTGACATGCAGTACATTACGCGTACAGCCCACCTTTGCAGCCACGACAAAGGACTTCCCTCGAAGTTGCTTCACGAGACTGTTGCTGACGTAATTATGAGTGCCCCGAGAAGTTGTAGCTGTTTAATTGCTCCCGGGTCACGTAGTTTCTCCGGGGAACCAGAGAGCAGGCGGTGTCTGCACGGTGTACACAAAAATGAGAGGCAACATCGTCCGTGATGTAGTCGTCGGATAGCGGCTAGGGGTTTCGTCATTTTAGTGGTGTACCCATTGCGCACGGGGAGAGGCAGTGACTTTGTGTAGTGCCCGAACAGCATCTTTCACAGCGGTACCACGGCAGAGCGAAAGAATCGGTCGCGTTCGTCACGTTATCAACACGTAGCAACACCGTGCTCCAGCCCGGTCCCTTAATTATGCAAGTTCATACAGCCCGCAAAAGCCGAAGAAACTCGGAAGGTAAGGAAACACAAAACCCACATAAATATGAAGAAAAAATAAGCTTTCCTTCCTCCATGCACATAAACAATGGCAAGCATGGGGGCATGGGTCGTCTGCTGCGTAACAACCTAAAAAATGGCGCCTAATAATGAATGGATAAATGAATATGAATGTACCCTTTAGATCGGGCGGTGGCTGACGCCACCTAGCTGTAATACTTAGTGAACCAAAAACTCAGTATCTTTTTTTTTTCTTTAAATAGTGAAGTTGAGGACTGGTACATTGCAATAAAGGGTTTAATTTTTACTCGTGTTTTAATTTTAGCCACCAATCAGATAACCTCCTTCTAGTTAATTCTACCCGCTCAAAGTCTATTTTGCCCTCTCTGTCACTAAACTCTAGTGCTTTGAAAAACTCTGCTCCATCATCCTGAACTATAGGGTGAAGCCCTTTACAGAACATTATCAAGTGTTCGGCAGTTTCCACCTCCTCTCCGCATGCACTGCATACCGTGTCTACCCCTTCGTATTTGGCCCGATATGTCTTGGTTCGCAATACTCCTGTCCTGGCCTCAAACAGTAGAGAACTACCTCGAGTATTACCATAGATCCTTAGCAATTTCCTGCTTAAAAGTTCCATAGATCTCCAGTGCGGACTTCTTAATCATGCCGATTCTCCCCATATGAGTCTCCGTTGCCTTCACCCCTGCTCTTTTCTAAGAATTTACCCGTGAATTTTCTGGTTCGCTTCCTCCACTTTGTATGGAGGTGGCGGTGGTGAGTGGTTGTAAGGAGAAGAAAACGGCACCTACTTTCTGTCTGCCTCAGGGGCGACACGGCGCAGTGCCTTATAGGGGTGGGGGTAAGGAAGGATAAAAAGAATAGAATGAAATAGTTGAAGAAATACAGAGGCAAGCGGCGGAAAATAGAAGGAGATGGGAAAGTGGGGATCCGGTCGAAGCAGTACAAGGGCGGGGCACCACAATGCGAGAGCTGCACGGTGTCGGTAGATCGCGCAGGCCGAACCAGTTGGCGGTAGCTACGCTGGCGTCGGAGATCGCGAGGGCACGTCCGTCCAGCTTGAAATCCTCTGAGCGAATCCCTTTGTATGGAGGAAGCTGCGCCACTTTGCGGCTGAGTTATGGTGGCTAGAAGGAGAGGTGTCAGCATCGTCCGGCTGCGCCTTGAAAGGAGGCGTGCTGGTATTTCATTTCGCCGTGGAGCGGCGCGCAAGTCGCCACCGCGATCGGTCGAGAACGCTTGCCAGCCGCTAGCGCGGCACTTTTAGTCGCTTGCTCGTGTGTTCGCAAGTCGCAACGTATGCGCTTTGCCTATTTGGACTTGTTCGGGATCAATACTTGTCAATGCGACCATGCAACAGGGCTGAGTAAACAGCAAATACAATGCTTTGTCCCTGGGTGCAATGCGGGATATGCTTCGGCTCGCAAACAAGGGAAGAAAGCGTTTCTATTCTCTGCTCCCGCCGACAATGAACAGAACAAGGCCTGGGAGCGTACGATTCCTCGCGCTTACAAACTATTGGAAAAGAACTGCGTTGTGTGCGAAGCTCATTTCGACGAAAGATTCATCGTCCGTAGCTACAAGCATGTTATCAATTTTCTTAGCAACTTGGGAAAAGGCTGTACCTAAGGAGGGTGGGTTCCTGAGTGAATCAACTGCCGAAGGACTACGCGTCACTCTTACCAACACCCTTTCCATCCGACACTATGTCACGAAAACCTTGGGCTATAAACACTTGATGACGTCTCGCCTCTGCCAAGACACACTTGAAATCTTTTTGGAATTCTGAAGCAAATGTCTGGCTCCAATGATCACCCTTCGCCGACACAATTTTTGATCTCTGTGACTTGCCTCAGTTTTTACAGTTTGGCACAGTCATCCCCAGTGGAAACATATCTTCTAAAGTTCTGAGCAGCCTCCTATGCCCGGGCATTCACAATAATTCAATAAAATTGCAGAATAAGCTGGATGAGGTGCTAGATGTGGGGCGCCTCAATGAGGTTCATGAAATTATTGTTGCTTATGAAGCCCTCCCTGACTACACTGATCTCATTGGACGCAAAGGTGACTCCCGGATCACTTATTACGTCAGTGGCTATGTGGCCTGGAAGATGGCGAAAAAGGCGAAGTGCAACGAATGTAGCAGGTTGCTGCTTCACTCAGAATTCCAGCTTGCTTCCGACAGAATCATGCTTTCTGTACCCGTCCGAGTCCTTAGCAGACCTAATGAAAGCTCAGGAAGATGAACTCACCTATTGCTTCAGTTTCAACAAGTTGAAAAGTGACAGCTAGCATAACAGATCGACCTCTTGCCTGTCTGTGAAGAGGTTAAATATGGTTGGCTGTGAACACCACAAACTAGAAGTGACAAATCAGATAATTAGATTCTTTACACTGACCAGAATGCATTTTCTCTTGCTGGAGAAAATGCATCCAATCAAAAAAAAAGAGAGAAAAAATGAAGTTCTTGAAGTTGGGACGTATGACATAACTGTCATAGTGTTAACTCAGTGAACAAGGTTTTATTTTATGCTATTGTGTATTACTCACACTCTGTTGTTTCTTGGGATTTTAGAATGGTCTTGTTCACATTGTTATAAATCCCCCATTAACAACTGTGATATCACTATGTGGCTGTGTTCACATATGCAGAAATCAATTTTTGTGTGAACTGGTTTGTGACTGTATCTATATTTGCCAATGAAATCTCAATGTCATGTGTGTATGTATGTCCATTGTATCATCGTATATTTACTGCTCTCTTTAGTAGCCTTATTCACTTGCTTTAGCTGAGTTTCATATAACTTGCAGTTTTCTTCACCTTAATGCATATGTTGTGTTTATTTTCATGCTGTTTTTTTTTTCGAGAAAATAAATGTGTTGCTGGTATAATTAAACCTTGATTGTGCGAGTCATAAAAATAATGGTTGCCGATACCTTTACGTGCATTAAGACTTCACGGAGAACACTGCGGCATCAAATTTGAAAACTGCACGGACTTTTGTTTTAGTGTCAAGCTCAAGGCAAGTCACTTGATTGTATTCTAAGCTTCGTAGCTGATATACTACGAAGTGAATTGAAAACACTAGTTTTCGGTGCCAATGCACGCTTTGCAGCGCGCCGCTGGAATAGGGACAAGTAGCCTTTGTTACAATCCGCGGAGTAGCGTGAAATATTTGCAACGAAAAACGAGTGATACGTCGTTATATGCACTGCGACTGATACGTATATAGGCACTGCGCCATGCTCCCGGCCGGGTTGCAGAAATTAGGTGCCTTTTCTCATCTTCTAATCACTACCACCACAACGGTATATCGGAGCACGGAGGAAAGAAAGGACGAGAAAGTTTTTTTCTTCCTTCAAGCCGCATATTAACTCTATGGCTCAAGCGTCGTCATTTTGAACCAATAATACCGACAACGTTGCAGTCTTGTATACGTATGTAGAGAATAAACAAACAGTACTACGGTGAACTCGTACGCATTAAAAGGCTCGGGCTGATACATTCTACGTTTCATGACCATGATAAAACGGGCAAAACAATGTTGCAAGCACGGTGTGGTTCCAAGTTTATAAAAACTGCTCGAACACAAACTCCACAGCTGGTGTATGCGTCAAAATATATAACACATAAAAAATTCTGAATTAAGGCTGCGTTATGCAGCGAAACAAGAAAATTCAGTACCCTTAATATTTTACCCGTGCCACAGATGAAATGTGGCCGACATTATTGTCATCGACATCGAGAAAAAGCCCCTTTCCGCTGTTCTTTCGGTTCGCTTTCGTTATCTGCGCCTCGGCTGCCTGGGGTTCGTTTACGAAATTGCAACAGGCAACGATTTGAAGATGGGTGTGATATTGACATGATATCTACGTTTCGTTATTGTGACGTAGCCCTCTAGCACACCTGTGATATGACCGCCACGCTACTCGCCGCAAGCCGTTTACGATGAAGCAGCCAGCGCCGCCGCCTGAGCGAAAGCAGGTAACAGAAACCCGTGTCTTCCGCAAAATCGCGTTTTTGTGGGTCTTTATCAAGATAAAGCTTGCAATGCATGGGCGAATATCGAAACCTTCATGCTTGCGGCGTTCTAGGAAGTGACGTGATCAGCTGTTGGAAGGAGATCGTGTGGTATGCTTATTCGGAAAAACAAGCCGGTGAGCAGTACGTGGTAGACTTTCAGCAGCAGGTGTTCGGGTGTTCCGGAACTGAAAGTAGCTGTAATAAGAAAAAAAAATGCATTCGGCTGCTAAGGATGTGGCAGCATGAACTCTAAGTGCGCATGATCTTCCTGCCTGCGCGGTAAAGCTAGAGTACTCTTCAACCGACGTAATCGTACACAGAACGCCGCTTCGCGTAACATGCAGCGTGAGAAATCTGCCGATATCGAAATGGGCGGCCTCGCCACCTATGTCGTTTTACAGATGGCGAACATTCTCAAGTACACGTCGCTACTTTTCATCGTGATCCAGACAACGACGTTGGTGCTTCTGCTGCGCTATTCACGCACGCAAGCGGTACAAGGTCCGCGTTACCTGTCGAGCTCGGCAGTTGTGTGCGCGGAATTTCTCAAGATTATCACGTGCGTGGCAGTGCTGCTGTGGAACAACGGTAAGCTCGCGCCGACGAGGTTGCAGCACCTTTGCCACTAAAGTTGAACATGTCCAAGTGTAAAAATCTGAAATAGATTGTATTCTGAACCCTCTCAGGAGACATACACTTATGAATAACTCTCTGTTAATGCGCCAAACCGATACAACGCTATTTCAAGGCACTCGGTAGTCTATTGCAATACAAATAACGTCATACTATGTTGAAGTATATGTTATTGTTACTAGTCCTAATTAGTTCTAATTAAATGTCTATTCATTGTAAAGTCATTAATGCTCTGTTTTGGTATATATAAATAAAATTAAATCTCGGGCTATAATACAGTGCAAGTTAAATTTTGGCTATGTCCATTTCGAGCAAAGAAAAAGTTTACTCCTCGCATGGCTCTCGGGGAGCAGCACGTCAAACTACACATCCAATGTAGTAGTGCCTTCAGCACATTAAGAGATCATATGCAGCAGTACACTGGAAAATGAAGTTTAATGAAGATGAATTTATTGTGCAGGCGGTGTCATTCATCTAAAGCTCGTTGTGTCTCACTCTTTCTTAGCCCCTAGTTCTTACAAAAAGCAAAAAAAAAAAACATTAGTGGTGTACAAAATGTTTTTTGCATATCGTGTCTAAGGGTTAAAAAGTGCTTGCTGCAAATAGCTCACATTTTAGATCACCGTGCTGTTATTTACTGACGATGCTGGCTCTATAGTTACCAAATTTAATTTGCTATTGCACAGGAAAAAAAAAATGAAGACCTGCACAAAGAAACTCAGTGCTAACTTCCAACAACAGCACCATTTCTGATTTAACAGCCCTACCTATGCTACCACATGTATTGCAGTTGTCCACATGCAATACATGTGTACAACTGCATTGTAAATACAAGGCCAAGAGAAGTCGCAAACACGTTTCATTCAAATGTACTTATTACACTAGATAACCATTCTCTATGCTGAAAGATCATGTGCCGTTTTACAAAAAAAGCTGTTATGAGGTCAGCACAAGGGCCAATATTTCCGCTGTAGTTGCCTGCCACCACCACCTGTTTTAATAAGCACCATTGTGTAAAAAGAAATAAAAAGTGAGCTAAATAAAAATTCGGAGCCTAGAAAGGTATTTGAACAGGGGCCTTCAGCATAGCAGCCCAGTATTCTAACACAGAGCTTCATTACAAACTGACCCTCTGCAGTCGTCGTGAGGGTTAAATAATCGCGTTAACATGTGTAATAGAGCATTTTAAAATTAGTAAAGTAACATCCTGTGTCACACATTAATTGTGTTACGAGTGGGTCGTTTTAGGCCTCCAACTCATTGCAGAAGGCTTATACTGAATTCTTCATTGTCAATAGCCGCAGCATAAACTAGGTGCACATAATGCCTTACAGGTGTACGCTTCTCTGAAGAATGATGAATACTAATGGAATAGTGCACGCTTCTCTATGTCTTGAAAATTGAATTATCTATGGTGTAACGGGGCACAGTGCAAGTGTGCTAATAGTAGTTTCCCCAAAAGTGTTTAAAAAAGGCTGTATGAAAGTCCCTCTTCCAGCTTTCATTGTGCCTGTGCTGCACATTTTGGTGACAGTGAAATAGATGGATTAGTTATGCATGTGCATGGTGCTTTCTGTGAAAGGGAATGCTTCAGAAAACTCTTTTGGCCCTATCTATTCAAATGTGGCGTTTAAAAGTACCAACTCTGCAGTAGAGCCAACTGTCATGAAATTAGACTGCTGTGCCTGCTAACTCAGTTTGTTTACTGCAAAAAAAGCTTCTAAAACATGGACTTTGCTCTAATTCTGAGTTTCTTTACTGCAAAAAAAAAAAAAAAAAAAAAACTCCCGAACATAAAGTCAACTAGAAGAACTAGTTGTCAAGTGAAATTTTTCCCAGTGTTGTTTATGCCGCAGGGTGCCAGGATTGAGACAACCTATATATTGGTGAAACCAGTAATTTCAAGAACAACTAAACAACACAGATATGATATAAGAATATGGCATGTGGCCTCGAATTTCATTGTTGAACATGTGGAATCCACAGACCACCAAATTGACTGGTCTTGTGCGTTTCCACAGAACTCATTTGCTATTGATTGGTCAAGTGCGTTAATTTGGTCCAGAGAAAAAAGCTTGGTGTCAAGCCTGCACCTGGAATCTCTGCACATACAGGCAGCTATGCATATGCTGAACAGGAGTGATGGGATGCTTCCGAAAACGTACTATCGCTGCTTAAATCATGTACTTTGACCTACTTAAGTACACTGTGCCATTCTTACGGCTTCTATTGGGAACAAGGTATGGGGTATTGAGATGTAAATAAACTGTATTCTTTGTCAGGTGTATCCTTTCGTGTTTACACTAATCATAAAGACTTTGTTTTGTTTGGAGCTCCAACATGGTGGGACCTCACCATTGCGACATTGTGCTAGTGTTGTCAAGGTACATAATAAGAAAAAAGGGTGTGCAAACATAGCCACAAAAAAAAAGTTATGGCATCACAAATGATAACTAACTAATGATAAGACGCTCAAGAAGTTATAGAAAGAAACTTGTCAGAGGTATATCATTCATTGCGTATTTTACAGACTTAAGGAGGAAGTGGATTCGGCAATAATGGTGTTTTTACGTCTGCCAATAAGCCAGTCAAAATTTGTGCTACTGTGCAGAGAAATAATGAGCGATCAAAAAGGAGTAAAAAGCAGATTGATATTTCTTTCGTAAAACTTACCGACAAATTCACTGAATGCAATACAAATGTGTTGTATAAAATCCCTTTCAGCTGTGGCCAGTAGTACATGGTACAGAAGGACCGTTGCATTATTCAGCGATTTCTTGGAATATAAGAGATTACTGACCTAATGCTTATCTTTAAACCTATCCTTACATTTTCGAGCATGTAAGCTTTTGCTAAAATTATGAATGCGCAGTTTTGTACAGGCATAGGAATAAGGAAACACGTCTGATGATTGAGACATGGCATATTGATAATAGTGGTTGCACATGCATGGGCCAACCATTGAGCAACATGCATAAGAATGAAATGAAATGCCTTGACAGTCGTCTTTTATGTAGACTCCCGTGCATGGTAGATCGATAGGTTCGCCTGTTGCATGGGCATGCACAAGTAAATTTTCATGCCCTTTTTTTTTTTTTACTTCTTTGCGTCTCTTCAATTGGTAGTTGGTGTTAGTAGTGTCATGACGTCTTCTTTGTCTTCAATACAACTGCACAACATGGCCTCTTTGTTGTGTGCGTGTTTGCATGCCCTGTCTTTTTAGAATCACGCCTCAGCTCTGTTATTATGTTATTAGTACATCGCACGCTGTTTCTTTTGCTATTTGTGCACAGAGGCCGAATAACAGCCCAGCAAGATTATTATCATGCTGAAATAGTTTGATGACAGCGTGATGCTGTTGCTGTGATGTCATCCAAGCCACCGTGTTGTGTGTCCACAATTTCACCATCGAGCCATCAATTTTGCACATTCTTATAATGTGCGCAAGCACAAAAAAAAAAAAACACGCTATGAAAAGTTCGGAATGTTCCATTAGTAAAAGCACTTGCAAATAAGTGTCCATGGAACTGTCAGAAATGTTCTTTCAGCAATCCTAATGTCATGGATATAAGGAAACAATTGCTTGAACCTATGTTCCTATATCATCTTTATATGTCCCTATTAGTCTCTATGTCCATATATTCATATGTGCATGTATATGTTCATATGTCCCTGTATATTCATATGATTGCAAATTATTTTTTCATTGTCTCCATCAAACTCAATGCATTATACATGCTCTTGTGTCTAGGTTTCTCTGTCCCAGCACTGGTGCTGCAGCTTCGAAACGAAGTGTGGAGGCAGCCATTTGAAACCTCCAAAATGCTGGTGCCTGCAGGCCTTTACACCATCCAAAACAATCTGCTGTTCTACGCACTCTCGCTCCTGGACGCTGCCACCTACCAGGTCTGTCCTGTTTGCTTACAGGTGTAACAGGTGTAACAGGGACGCTTATTTATTCTGCCAAATGGGCAAATGTAGTGTTACGTTGAGCTAGGGTACTTTGCTGCTAGATTTTCAAACAATATTGCCACGTCCCTTCCACAAGTTTTGTTATCAACCCCGTTACACTGTACGTAATTCTCAGTGCGAACCCCGCATGGACTGTTCGAGAAGCTTCGGGACTGAAGTAGATCATTTCGATAAGATTACACCTCCTTCGAGAACATTACAGATTATTCTGGAACCTAGTGGCTGTTAGTGATAACGCTAGAGTATTCGGGCCGATCTTCGAGCTCTTACCAGGAAAACTAAGGGCAGCAACCTATGGAGGTGTGGTTGCTGTATGATGAACTACCGAAGATCCTTTGCCGCCACCAATGATGACGACGCGGCGGCGTATCAAGAACCTGCCGCACCCCAAATGCAGCTCTGACGTCGATACTTCGTGGCCATCAAAAGACCTGACAACGCATTGTTGAAGCAGCGGTACAAACCGTCGTAGCCGTCATTCGATGCCATGACCAAACTGCTACGCGAGGCGACGCATTAGCGGCCTCGACATCCTCATCGATGGCCACAGCATCACAGCTCTCGTCGACACCAGAGCTGACTATTCCGTCATCAGTGGGTCATTCGCTGCCTAGCTGAAGAAAGTGAGGACCGCCTGAGAAGGCCCTGAAATCCGTACTGCTGGAGGTCACCTAATTACGCCGGCAGGAATTCGCACAGCGAGAGTCACCCTCAATAACCAAACATATCCTGCAAGCCTTGTAATTTTACAACATTGCTCCAGGAATGGGATACTTGGGATGGACTTCCTAAGTCACCACGTCCAGAAGTTCTGAATGCTCTGCATGATGACCTGATGGCTGAACACCTTGGGTTTTCTCGTACGCTTGCAAGAATACAAGAGAAGTAGTGCTGTCCCCGGCCTCACTGCTGGCGTAACTCACTATGTAAAAACCTGCCGAGACCGCCCAGCGACGCAAGGCACCGCCAACAAGGCCAGCAGACTTTCTCCAGCCGATCGAACCACCTCGCTGGCCATTCCATCAAATCGAAAGAGACCTACTGAGGCCGTTTCCAATGCCGAATTCCGGATACAAATGGATCGTTATATGTACTGACTACCTCACCTGCTACACCAAAACAAAGACCCTCCCCAAAGGTAGTGCCGAAGAAGTAGCCAAGTTTTTCGTTGAGAACACATCCTTTGTCATGGCGCCCCAGAGGTTGTGATCACCGATAGAGGTAGGACTTTACTGTTGATTTGACTCGAGCGATCTTGAGATTTAGCCAGACAAGCCACCGCCGCACCACCGCTTACCAACCACAGACAAATGGTCTCACCGAGCGGCTAAACAAGACAATCCCCTACATGCTGGCCATGTACGTCACAAGACGTGGAACGCCATCCTTCCGTACGTGACCTTCGGGTACAGTACGGCCGTCCAAGAAACGACGCAGGTGATGCCAAACAAGTTGGTTTATGGAAGGAGCCCGGCAACGACCCTCGACACTATGCATCCAAACGTCGCTGACGAAGAGAACCTCGACGTCGCCACTTACCATCAGCGCGCGAAAGAAGCTCTTCAACTCGCTCGCCTGCGCATCGCAAATCGGCTGATGACCGATCGCTCCCATCACAGTCTTCGACGACACTTCGTGGAATACCAGCCCGGATAAACCCCTGTTTGGGTATGGATGCCGATACGCCTTCGTGGACTCAGTGAAAAACTTCTGTGACAAAACTTCGGACCATACAGAGTAGTACGACGTCTTAGTGCACTAGACTGCGAGGTTGTCCTCGACAGCATCACAAACTCTCAACGGCGCCGATCGCGACCTGAAGTGATCCATGTAGTGCCTCAAGCCCTTTCATGCACATTAATGAACTGAAAGAGTGTATTTTATTGTTGTTATTGCTGTATCGTAATTTATTGTTTGTATTTTTTTGCATTATTATTTTATTTTCTTCTTCTGTTTAAGCATTGGGACGATGCCTTTTTCAGAGGGGGGCAATTCCACATCCCTTCCACAAGTATTGTTATCACCCGTTACTCGGTACGTAATTCTCAGCGCAAACTGCACATGCACTGTTTGAGAAGCTTGGGGACTGAAGTAGATCATTTCGATACGATTACCCCCCTTCGAGAACATTACAGATTATTCTCGAACCTATGTGGCTGCTAGTGATTACGCTAGAATATTCAAGGCACGTGTATAAATCTGACGCCTATAACCGCTTGTCAGTTGATCGCCGGCCGACGTTCTGTTCACCGCTACCAGTCCCCGTGTGTTGCTGTAATCTGTCCATCAGTTTTCTGGCCACAGGTTTGGCCCAAATAAACAGTTTTATCTTTGACCTGCAGTCTACTCTATTGGCCACGTCATGACCCCGTGACAATATAGTTAGTGACACTCCCTGTAGGGTGCACTTACGAAAAAGTGCATTCGCTTAACTCTCTTCACTCTGTTGAAGCGTGAAGCCTCAGCAGGAGTGCATAATGAATAAAAACTAGACTGCTTGGCCTGCAGTTAGCATTAATTTTAAAAGCGAATTTTTAACATCGGAGCTGTTTAAGTCGTGCGTTGGTTCTTCCGTCATCAACAAAAAACTGCTCAGCAATGACCTCACTGTGGTTTGCCTAGCAACCAGTGGCATAGCGGTGCATAGAATCGTGCCGGCTTTGCGAGCCCAGACACAGCTCCGCCTAGTCTCTGCAAGCTGCGCGCGACTGCGCATATGCCATGACGTCACCACTGTGCAGCAACTGTTGGCACAGTTCTGCATAGAATCGCACCTGCTTCGTGAGTCTAGCACAACTTCGCTAAGGTCCTGCAAGACTGTGCGTGCACCATGATGTCCCTGCTGTGCGCACTCGCTTCAACACTGCGTGCAGCAGCTCGGCTTCACCAGTTTGACAAGAAAGTTAGCCGAGCCTGCTGGGCGACCTATGACGGGCTCAGAAAAGAGGAGTTTAAGTGAAAAAGCATATGCTTGGGCATGTACGTAAGTCATGTCTCACTTTTCAGCGCACAAATGAACAAGGGCAGTACTGTCTCTTTTTGATTTTTTTACATCTGTGGGCTAAAACAATAGGACGAGTTTATGTATATTGGCCTGACTCAACATGATGTTTCTGCATGCTACAAATGTTAGTTTCAATGAACTGCTATGAGGGTTCAAGTTCTTATGTTTTATCAAGACATGCAACAGCCACAGGCAAATTGACAATTCAATTTTCCGGTTGCATTGTCACTTTGTTCTTTTCATCCTTCACCATCATTGAGCTGCTGCTTCGCATTTGATTCATTACAATATCTACCTAGGGTCAGGACAGACATTTCTTCATTGTAACATTCAGTGATCCAGTGCTCTTTGAAGTCGCAAGTGTCTTTCGCTCGCCAGGTCTTGTGGCAGTGCTTGCTGTAGTGAAAATCTAATATTTTCGTCAGAAGACACAGCAAAATTTTAAACTTTATCATCAACAGATTCACTGTGGTCAGTGACATACTTGTCCCGGGCATCCAGAAGGAGCTCCACAATTGCAGAATAAAGTTGTGCTTGTTTAACCAAGTTGCTTGATGAGAGTGGCCTAATACATGAAAACTAGAGTACTCTAGGTCACATTCAGGTGCATCATGACACCGACCAACTAAAGCACGTTTCACATTGATTGATGTTATTTCTTGCTGTAACAAATGCACGTCGCCATACAAAGTGCTTTTGGTATTAAATAGATTAATTTTAGTCATTCTTAGCTGGCTACTGTAGCATAATATAAAGAATGAAGATGCGAGAAAACATCGAAATAAACATTTTTAGGCTACGAAAATCGGATATAGCTGCTCCCATCAAAATATGAATCTAGAGGCATGGTAAGCCTGTCATGTCTTTTCACCCATATTTGCCATATTTACTCAATTGTAATACAACCAAGATTTTCATGCAAGGAGCAACTTTTCATTGCATCCCAAAATGTTTTTTATTTTGGTATTTTATTGTAATGCATGGGTTTACCTTAGGTGTCAGAGATCTGGAAAACTTTTTTTACATTTGAGTAATTGTGCTAATGCTTGAGATGTTAAATAGACATTTCAAGGACGTCCTGAAAAGAAGAAAAATAAGTATCTTGATTGCAGTAGTTTTGTTTTGTAATCGTGAAGTGTTCTTTTACTCTCCCTGGCTTTTACAGGTAACCTACCAGCTGAAGATACTTACTACAGCCATGTTTAGTGTGTGGATGTTAAAGCGCCGAATATCAAAGCAGCAGTGGTTCTCGCTTGTACTTCTCATTGTTGGAGTTGCACTTGTTCAGGTATAGTAATGTCTGTGCTTTACATTTGGTTTTCCTGTATGTTATAGGTATATTTTACTGCAATGCTCACTGTCACAGTGCTTGTAAAAGTGCAAGCAAGCTTAGCATGGGCAAATAGTGAAGGGAACACTAGTGAGTATTTTGTCTTTAACCCTTTCAGATGCCACCTATGAAGAACCGTCTGTAAATGTGTCAAATCACTACAATGTTACTTCAAGGCACTCAATATCAGATTGCTACACAAACAATATGATAATTGTTAAGCTTATGCCTGTTATAGTAATCCATCCTAATTAGGTTTTAATTAAATAACTCATTACCATGAAGAGATTGATGCTTACTTTTAGCATAATCGCAATAAAATCTCTATTGATATAGTGCAAATTAATTTCGGGTTATCTCAATATTGAGCTATGAAAATTCTGTTTTTTACATTGCTTGCAGGAAGCAGCATGTCGCATGACTTGTCAAGCGTGGTAGGGCCTTCAGGAAAGTGATCATATGTATCGGTACAGTGCAAAATGAAAGTAAATGATGACAGATTTTTTACACAGGAGCTTCAATTCATCCAAAGTACGATATATCTTGCTCTTTATTAGCCTCTACTTGATGCAAATTGCAAGAACGAGTGGTGTACGAAATTGTGTACATGGCGTCTCAAGGGGGTAAAGTGGATGAATTATAATGGCAGCAATGCGGCAGGGAAGGTTCTTATAGTGTGGAGCATCTTGGAAGCCAGGCTGTCATATACTGTAGGCGGCACTTGATGTAACATAGGCAAAACTACCCTCAGCATAGCAAATTCTAGCATACTGAGCATGCGCTCTCACCAAGAAGCCTTCTTCCTCTTGCTCTACAAGCGCCTTGATGATGATATTAGGTGTGGAAATTACTGCTATGGCTATGAAAACACTACGCAAACCACATGTAAAAACTGAAAGACAAAGCAAGTGAGAAATACAGGGAAATGAAAGAAAGGGGAAAAAAAAGAAAGAAACTGAGGAGTAAAGAAAGAGAAAACCAAGGAGGAACAAAGAAGGCTACCTAGCTCTGCGCTTCCAAGCTTGGCCCCACTAAGGTGAAGCTGCCTTAATTTTTTACATATTCTGCTTCGTGAGGAAAAAAAGATGTGATAAAGTGACAGTTTGGGCACTTGGGTCAAGCAACGCATAGCCCATGCCGATTAGCTTTGCAACAGGGAAAGAAGTACAAGAATCAAATATTAATTTTTTTGTTAACGTGTGTAAAATACACCGCAAAGAAGTGTGTTTACTTAAAAATAAAAGAAATATTTCAGGGAAACATTTTGCTCAGTGCATCAGCTATGACAGACAGGAAGCACTTGGAAATCTCCCTTAAAGGGACCCGCAACTAATATTTATGGTACCTGTTTTCTCGAGTGCAACAGAAAGCTTACCAGTCAGAGCTTGTAATCACGGAATGGTAGTGCGGAAAACACTGTAGAACATTTATAATCAGAATTTTTCGATTTGTCACGATTATGCAGTCTTAAGGAGACATGCTTTAAACAGTAGATGTGATAACAACAGCAATTTTATACTGGTATAACACCAGCAGTGATGGAACAGTGGAGCCCCAAGTACAAACACGTAATGCTGTGTTTGTCAAGTCTGATGTCTCACGACGACTGCTTTCTAGCGTGCTGAATTCTTTTACCAGAGTTACAGCACTTATTATAAAAGTACTTTCAGCCGTGCACGGGTCGATGTTTTTACTTTAGCCAAGTCCAGCTAAGCCAAGTCTTTCAAAACGGAACGACACGATTACTCATGATCAACAATTCACATATGGTAGTTCACCATCAGTCATAGTTGGACTGCTTCGATATGCCATCGCTTGACAACTTGAGTGAGTTAGAGGCATGAATTCTGGCTGTATGCTAGCGCGAAACTTGGACCCCTATCAAGTAGCCCCACAGTGACATGCTTTGACGGACGACAGCGGTAGCTACGAATCCAATGCACTGCCACCATCACCGCCACCAGCCGCATGCCTAAAGAATGCAGATTGGTAAATAATTTCGCGTGTCACAGCGATCGCATTCGCGAGCTCACGTGCTTCTATGGAAATTGAGCTACTCTGGAAACGCCGCATGCGTGCACCACTGCCTTTGTTTCCCTGCAGAGACCATGAAAGCAACTTCGCTTTTCATGCTGTACTTCTTTTACCTTGTAAGCCACATAGAAGCAAACGTAAATGAACAATAACAAACGTATTCAAAATTTAAGCCCTTAGTTTGGTGCTCTTTAAATAATCACAGCAAAGTGACTAGGACTTCATATTTGTGGTTCATAGGTCTTGCACTAGGCCAATTTTGGTTACTTTTAAACGCAATTTAAAAATATCAATCCTACTCAGATCGCGAAAAGTATGCTGTCACCTGTCACCATAATTCACGCTCTTTTCCTTTCCACCAGAATAATAATCACCTGTTCTGGCCAGTTGTGGGTCCCTTTAAAGCCACCTTCTACTTTCTTTGTTATGAAACATCAATTTGCATTTCATTTTCTTCACTTTGTGCCTTCAAAAGAACATGAATCATGTGTAAAATATTTTCTTTCTTGTCCTCTTTTCCTGCTTTTATCCAAGCTATTATGCTTAATGTAATAATTGTTGGGGTTTAACATCTCAAAACAATCATAGGCATATGAAAGATGCCATAGTGCAGGGCTCTGAAAATTGGGGTTCTTAACATGCAAGAAAATATGCTTGCTGCCTGTCATTGCTATTTATTTGTATTTAAAGTGTCCCACTGGAATGCTACATTAAAGCGATGATGAACAAATGTTTCAACAATGAGTTCTTAATCTGAACTGAAGGATTGGGTGCTGAGATTTCGAACTGAAACTGCTGGAAAGAAATAAATAGAATGCATCTTTATGAACTTCCACAATTGGTGGCCACACCGTGAGCTAGAGGTGACATTAACGTCAATGGAAACAAGCGTGCACACACACTCGAGTTTTCGTCTGGAATTCGCAGCCTTACTCTGAATCCAAAACAGCCGTACTATTAAAAAAGGAATTTTCTCTTTGAGCTACATAGTATGTTCTGCCTTCCATCATACTCCCCCCCTCTCACCCCCATTTTGTCCTGCTTTGGAGTATACAATATATGGGCACTTTATATTAGCCAGTTGGTAACGAAAAATGTCTGCTTAAATGTAGTGCTATGAAATTGTGGTGGGATGACATTGTTTGGATGGCCTGTGCAGTGAACAGGGCATTGTACTACTAGCTGGCTGTTGTGTGGCATGGAGTGGAGAAACCCATAACAGAGGCTAAAGTGAGAAACGTGGCAGAAATTGCCTAGAGTCATAAGTTCTGGTGTACATTGGACTAAAGAAATGCTACCATTCAATGTTAGCCAGAAAGATGCAGCCAGCTGCTTTGTACTGAAGGCCACACTTGGCTAGAAAATTAAGATTGGTGACATGCTAAGGGGTTAAAACCATCCACATCTATCTAATAAAGCCTTGCTTATAGGCCACTGTGTCCTTTCAAGTATGTAGCACTTTAGGGTGAGCAGCCTATCGTATGCTATCATCATGCAGCCATATATCATGCAGCCATAATACAGCCATATAGTGCAGCCATCTGTAGCGTGTGTTTACGCCAAAGAAAAGACTCAATCCTCTTTTTCTTCGTGTGCCTTGATGATGATATTAAGTGCAGAGCACTCCAAATAGGACCTCGTATAAAAGTACAAAAAAAAAAAGGAAGAAGCAAGCGGAAAAATGAAACAGAAAAAAAGGAAGAGAATAGATATTGACAAATATCAAAATACGTAGAAATAAAGACAGAAAAAACTAGAAAATAAAAAAAGAGGAGGAAAGAAAGAGAAAACTAAAGACATAAAACAAAGACAGCTCAGCTCCAAACTTTCTTCAGGCTTGGCACCACTGGTTCTAAGCTACTGGTTCTAATTTCTTTTGCATGTTTAATAAGCCATAACAATTGCTTAGTTTGTCCAAATTACTACTAAGTCAAATCTCATTGATTCAAACACGCTTAATTCGAACTTCCGGTTAATTCGAACTCAATATGAGGTCCCGTTAAAGCTATGTGTATTCCAGTGGGCAAAAACGCCCGGTAATTCGAACGCACAAGCACTTGTGATGGTTCATTTGAACATACCGCGCTCCGAAAAGACTCTCAGAACCCCGCCCAATCCTGCGGCAGCACTTTTGACATCTCAACATTGTGCGCGAAGGAAAGGAAAAGGAAATAAAAGGCTGCGGTGGAATGTTTGCTCTCTCTCAATGCTGATCTGCGATGCGCCATTGCCACGCTTCTCTCTTTTCCGCCCCTGCTACGTAAAGACCCTTCTCCTTCCAACGCCACGCGCAAGGAGACAGAGGAAAGAAAAAAGCTGTCGCGGAGTGTGGCTTTCTCTCTCACATGCCGGTGCCATGGTTCCCCCTTTCCTGTCCCTGCCACATAACCCTGCTCCTTTCAACGAACAGCATGGAGAGAGTAAAAAAAAAAGCTGCTGTGGAGTGTTGGTTCTCTCTCAAATGCCGATCTGCTTCTCTCCGCGTGGAGACGCTCCTCCTTTCTCGTCACATGCTGGCCACTCTGTGGCTTTGGCGCAGAGGGTAGTAGCGGAGATGCAGTCATTGTTATCGTCGTCTTTAGATAGTGCCGGCGTTGGACATTGCCGCGCGCAACATCTCTTGCCAGGAGAATGCTGAAGTCTAAGTAGACATGCTTTGCAAGCTGCATGCGAAATTGATCGACTCGCTGGAAGGCAAATGTGTGCAGACGCGCATCACCAATTACTTCAAATAATGATGGATGTCCTGCAATTCGCGAATAAATGTAAGTTTTCCGAAATTTCCTCTTCGTGTGTAAGCTTAACGCACATGCGCCACTGCATGGGGAGCCGTTCGTTTACTTAGCTTTCGTTAATTTGAACTTCTTTTAATATGAACAAATTTTCGGGCCCCTTCGAGCTCGAGTTATCAAGATTCGACTGTAGTTTGCAGTCAATTTAGCTAAAGTGAGATGTCACAACAGTTTGACATGATACCTTGCAGATGCCAACGGGAAAATCACCAGAGACTGACCTCAAGCAGGGACCTTACCAGTTTCTGGGCCTCTTGGCTGTGCTTGCATCGTGTCTGTCCAGTGGCTTCAGCGGCATCTACTTAGAGAAGCTGCTCAAAGAGATTACATGGTCATTGTGGATACGAAATATCCAACTTGGTGAGACGGTACAGTCATTGTCTGTACTAAATGCTGCTGTTGTTCTGCATTTCTAGTAAATTTTGTTTAATGTGGTGTTGCAACATGTTTTGATCACTGTGAGCCAACTTGTACAAGGAGAAATTAAAACCAGAGGCTTCCAATTTGAATAAGCTATTGTGGATACCGATGCCTTCAAATTATCTGGAGTAGAAATACCCAGGGCTGTGCCATGGCTGAAGCGTCAGTTCGAACTAACTGCAGGTTCGGATTAACCAAGTTCAAATCAATGAGCTTGTTTGCTATAGTTTTGCCACTTCACCTAATCGGCATTGCCACTGCCTTTAAAAAATTTCACTCAATTTCACTGAAGACACTATGCATGGAAGGCATAACTCAGTCGAGATCTAAGCCGAAAACCACCAGAAATTTGCCATGCTGCCATTCCTAATTTTGGCGCCAAGGACTTCTCAAATTCGCTAAATAAGGAAAAAGTAGCCACCCTGCACCTAATTCTGCGCTGCTCTGATATGCACTCCTCAGTATCCATTTCGATGCTTCAACTTACGATAAATAAGCAGTTACCGTTCCTTATCTTGACACAACCTGACCAGGGCCATTTTTTCTCTTGATATCGTCGCTTTCTAATTCATTCTGCTTTCCTCCCATCTCTTTAACTGGTACTAACACGAAAATTTCCGCCTCACATTCTTTTGCTGGAATGTATTGCTGAGGGCCTGTTATGGGTAACACAGCCCATCGTTTGCTTCAGCGCATGACCGATAATTAATTAGAGGCCCCTCATTACCGACTAGTCTTAGTTTCAATTTGAGAGAGCTCGAAAAACAACAGGCCGCAGGGTGAAACTATTTGCCACCTAACGTGTCCGATGTTCAACCACGTCATCACACAGAACTGGGACGTACTTCCACACAGACCGCATCAAAGAGATCTTTCGAACAAGAAACGAGACAGCACTGTTGCCAAATACGCATGCCCCGCAGCCATGGACTTGAGTAGTCGCCTAAAAGTAGTCCGCTGGAGCAAACACAGCAAAACAAAAATGGCATTTATGACTTCATCGTGTCTATATGTAGTGAATTCAGCATGGTGACATGAGAGAAGTAGGGAAGTCTTTGTGCACTTTCGAGGCTCTCAGTATTGCGAAGTGCGGTGTATAGCACGTACACGCAAATCTAAATATTTATGTAAAATACTTTCCAACCTATATTTGCTGTTGATATTTAGCAGATGATTTATGCATTTTCAAGGGAATCGATCACGCAGGCTATCATTTTCGTTCTGTCGCACACTGTATAATTTTTGCTTCTTCTCGAATTTTTTTTTTGTTGTTGTTCTGCAGGCTCCTGTTTCATGTGTTATAACTGGCAAAAATACAGTGGTTGTATTCTTTCTGCCTTAGTGACAATGGTAAATCAAGGGTCATGATTCGAGAATGTGTAATGTATACTAACCCATTTTTATTTTCTGATGAATTTTTTTTACATAAGTAAGCTCTCCATTAGTTTTTGACCATGGTATATTTAATGGAAGCAGGAAGATGAGCTTCCTAAGGAACATGCACCATTGAATGTGCCTGGTTGAAAGTGCTAGTGTTGTGCCCCTTTCTTGTGCTTGTTTGAGCGAATTAAATTTTCACTCAAGCTAGATGTACAGTTTGAAAAAAGTTAGTAGAAATGACCGAAGGCATAAAATTGCGCCATGCGGTGCTGTCGCTCATTGCCTAGCGCATTCCATTTTCCAAAGCAGAGATGTCTGCCAGACTGGCAAAAAGCAGCCTGCCTTGCTGTTGATCGATCCGAAAGCTCATATCTTAAAGAAATGATTGTTCATTGATCAGCAAATGTGGCTAAGTGAATGATTTCTTTCTTTTATGTTTTGCTGTAGTTGCCAGCAACTGTTCCTTTATCCAAAAATGCTTTTTGTTGAAGTGCTTTCCCCTGCTATCTTCGCTTTGAAAAATGGAATGTGCTGGGCACTCTCGATAATGTCACTTGAGGAAGAACAGCGCTGCATGTGACAGTCTTGCCACTACGGGTACTGGTCACTTGTGCAACTTTTTTTTCCTTAAGACTGTACTTGCCTTCTTTTATCACATGACCTTTGAACAATCTACCTTGCAGCAATCTTCGGATTCCTCCTAGGAATAGTGGCCATGTTGGTGTCCGACTGGAACCAGCTCTTGGTTGGTGGCTTCTTTCAAGGCTACAATGCCATAACGTGGATGGTCATTCTACTACAGGTAAAGCTTGTCATTAACGTTCAGTAGTATACGGCCAATACGAAGTCTCAGTGACTTCATTCTCTATGGTAATGGGCAACTGCTGAGTGCTGTTGTTTTTGTGGGGTACGTAAACTCTAATAATTATAAATAAAACTGATTTACGTGTTGTTAGTCTCTCAACGGCAGTCTCTCATCAGGAACGTGATTACCTATGTGGGAAGAAATTTGATGCCGCAGCAAGTTCAAAATTCAGTCAGTCCCGGATATATTGAACTCGAAGGAGATCGGATAATAGTTCGATATATTGATTAGTGTAAGTGAGAATTTAAGGACATTTAAGGACTAAAATAAAGCACTTGAAGTCGCAGAAATCGTTACAAACGCTAACATAACAATTTGCTCGCAGTATAATGAATAACAAGATGTGAACTGCAAGTACGGCATTTTATTTCGCATGAAAATAGTCTGTTTCTTGCTTTTTGCACGCCGTCAAGTTTCAGTCATTCTCAACATAATTGAAGCTTTTCAAATAAGCGAATTCAGCTCCTTCAGCCACAACAGCGTAGGTTGACGCAGAATGCTGTTGCAAGCTTTTTAGCACGGAATACGGTTGGTTAGCGGCGGCAGCGAAAGCATTGGCATATTACATCGCACGCAGGTAAACTTTTGAGCACCAGCAACGACAGCTATGATCCCAGCATCGATGCAGTCAGAAACAGCTACGTCGTCATGAAGTCGCTCACTGTCTGAGATGGTGGCCAGAAACACAAAAAAGTTGCAGAATTCACTGAGGCACTGTACGCCGTTGTCAGCGGTCATGACGCACCCGAAGTCATCACCTGGCCCACAACGAAAGTTTACGACGAGGCTTTACTTGTTGTTGCTCAAAGCGCCAGCCATAACTTTTATCTCTACGTGCAGGTAAACCATCAGTTCAACTCCCGAATGAGGATTTATCAGGAACGAGACGAGAAGTAAACACATCCACTAGGCACAAAAGACAACGCCGAGTGCCCAGGAACTGCCGTCAAAATGTTGCCGATATCGATTTCGCTTATGGCTTTGCAGCCGGCAGCCTCTGTTTTCAGCTGCTTTGATGTGCATCCTCCGAGACATGGGTTTTAAAACCGCAAACACTGAATATTCATCACGAAATTGCACTTCTCGAAGACCGTGCTTTTCACGCTTGCATGTCATTGTGTGCTAACAAACAAGGGATTTGGAACATTGCAACGTGATTGCTGAGTGACTTAGCATTTTCATTTTGGTGTCCTAGGCAATGGGGTTTTTTTTTAAAAACTATGCCCACGTGTTAAGACCTTCAGATCGTCCATCAAACATACTGGTTCACTCGCAAGTGCTGCTCAATGCACCAGATCAGTGTGATGGAATAACACCACCTTTTTGTCACCTGTGTGCGAAGAGCGATCGGAACTGGTCAGAACAGGGCTGAAAATTGAGCAATACTTGCTAGGAAAAATGGCTCTCTAAGCTTCAGCGCGGCGCAGGGTTCGATGTAGTGGATGTCCCACTGTGCGGGAGTTCGATATACATGTGCACCTGTCCCATACTTCTGCATGGGAAATTCCAGGGGATTTCTAAACTGTTTGCTATAGCCAATAATTTGATATATCCAAGTTTGTTATATCCAATATTTACTGTATTGTAATGAGTAATTAATTAGCCTCCCCTGTGCTTGTAGTTAATTATTTTTAAAGGAAAGAAGTGAAAATTTTAAGGACTTGTTTTCATTTGTTAGACACAATATTAATTAGAACTACAGACAACGTTGCCAAGGAAAGTATAGGAGATGTTAGTAATAGTAATGTGAATGTGAAGAAAGAAGAGTGAACAAAGGTATAACATACCGCAGGATGAGACCGAGTCTTCGGCATTTCAATAATGCTCCCAGTGCTCTACCAGCTGAGCAACAGAGGCAATCATGCCTCGTCCGCTTTAAGGGGTTATATATGGGCATTGGAACATTAGTGTTAGTCATTGTCACCTATAGCTGGGATGACTATTGCCGTGAGTTCAATAAATTACTGGCATTGATTCAGAGTTGTTACTCACCTCGCTACAGTACTGGCAAAGAAAGTTTTTTTCAGGTCGCATAAACCTATATACTACAGAAGTTATTTTATAGCATCATGAGTTAGTGTGGGCTCATAAAAATTGTTTTCATTCAAGAACCAGGGACATCACAAAAAATTCAGAAAAATTGAGCCATCTTGTAGAGTTAAGGAATTTAACGAGAGTATCGAGGAGTTCATCTGGTTACATGCCCAGTGCAATAGTTTGGGTGAAAAGTGAAACGAAAGAAAACAAGTGTTAAAAAAATGCAAAGAATTTGGCCATAACAGCATTTCTACAATACCTCAAAGTCATATGCAACTATGTATGACATCATCTAATCAAATCTTTTTTTCTTTCTAAATAAAATAGTTTAATCACAACGCAGGACACTCACGTAGTTGCAGTCATTCAGAACTCTCAGGGACCTTCTGTGAGTGTCAGCTGAATTGAATTGAGTTTCAAATCATTGTATGCTTCATGTACGCATGGATATAAGCTTGCCAGATTGGGGTATATAAACCTTTCAGTAGCAGTGGCTACGTTTACGAGCACAACTTGCTTATGCCATTTGGGTCAACTTGTGGCCTACAGAGAGCAAGGCACATTGCTTGTTAGATGAATGAAACCATAGCCAATATGTCTCGGTTTGACTTAAGTGTGCTGCGTACGACTGTAGCTGATAACCTTGGTGAAAGCACTGTGATGTCTCAAGGTTCGTGCGACTTGCCGCGTTCCAGAACCAATGTCAAAAGTAATGCTTTCCTTTACTCAAAATGAATGCTACCAAAAACTGATTGCAGACACACTTGGCAATTATTCTTTTTATGTCGAAGTGGAAGATGACTGACTGCTGGGTAATGAAATATTTGATTGGATGCTAATTATGAATAGTTATTGAAACTTCTACATAACAGATTACCTCACTTTCTTTCTCAGAATGTAGTATTGATTGCTCTGTAATTATGTTATGTGAAATCGACAGACACATTTATAGACAGTGCATAATAATTTTTCACTGGAAGGTAATAATTATTTGGGGAGAGGGGAAGCTGAGTTACCAACTAGCCCAACTTCAAGTTCTTCTAGTTTTCATTCTTTTGTTTCTTTTCTTTTTCATTTTTAACCAAATTTTACATGTCTAAACCAACACTCTGAACGTTGCCCACTAACTATGGTTTTGAGGCAGTGTTATTGTTTGCCAATTACTCTCAACTAATTTCAGAATTACTTGTGTAAATGTACATACTTTCTCCAGTATTTATATTTTGAATGTGCCTTGTTAAATATGTCCATATTATTAGTATTTTCTTTTCGTTAAACTTTTTTTTTCTATTGCATTGTTTGTTTGAATTGTCTGAAAACCTATTTTGCGTTTGTCATCTTATTGCCGCAGTGAATCTGGGGACGAGGTGTATTTTCAAGCTGTTTCATGCAGCTCTTCCTTGTCCCAATTGCTTACTGTAAAACTGTATGTGTTAAGCAAACTCAATTCAATTCGGCTGACTGTTCACTGTGTTCACTTGTAACAGACATTTGGTGGCTTGGTCGTGTCGCTGGCTGTGCGCTATGCCGACAGCATTCTCAAGGGATTTGCGACGTCCATCTCCATAGTGCTGTCGACGTTATGCTCATATTACCTGTTGGGAGACCTTCTGCCCACTCGGTAAGCTTCGTCTTCTTGGTGTTGCATGCTCAGTCAACACGAAATCTCATAGAAATAATGTACTAGTGGTGTTCAGATGAAGAGCTATGAAACAACAGTGTGTATAATATATACACTCAAACTCATTACACTCAAAACTCGATATAATAAACCCAGATATAGCAAAATCTTGCTTATAACGAAGTAAATGAAGAATAGTCTTGCAACAGCTGTAGTGTTGTAGTATCAACCACATGATAAAGAAATGAGATACACAATGCCTGTAATACATTCTACGAACATTTTTTCGTGCTTCTTATCGCACCCAACACTTGAAGTTCTTTCCTAGTTAACTCTTTTACATAGTGAGCTCAGCTTGTTTTTGCTGTGAAAACAACCTTCACCACTGTTTTTTTTTCAATGATTCTTTTTAAGCAGTGTGAAACTTAGTGCACGTAAAGAATGGCAGACACCTTCGGCTCGTCCGGAGTTGTGCGCTGTGTATTCTTCCCCTGCTTCAATTCATTCAGAAGTGACTCTGCTATGCCTGTAAGCAATTGATCAGGAAAGCCTGCTTTCTTAAGTCTATTAACTTGGTTGCCGAAACTGCTTTGAATCTGGTGAGTACAAGACATTGACAATGATGCCATCATGCATGCTTTTTCAATTCCTCGCTTAGCAAGCTTGGATAGCGCAGAACTAAAGGGTAACAAGGCTTTCTCGGAGTGCATTGCCAGCACACCGTGTTCTGGCAGGAACATAAGCTCTCGGTCTAAAAATCCAAGTTTTTTTATTCTCGGGGAATTCCGTTGTCAGCTGCAGATCAGTCACGTTTTCAGAGAAAAATGCTGAAAATTTTGTTGGTGTGCTGTCTTGTGTCATTCTGTTCTGCACTATAAATACTGAAAAATCATCAACATAGCACAATGCCTTAATGGTATGTGTCTCGGCAAGCCTCGCTTGTATGCGTTTGTCATTACGAGCTAATGAAATATCACTGAGGACTGGAGCTAAACATGATTCAATACACACACTGTGTCTTTGAATGTACCATTTGTCGTTTCTCGTGACAATCGTTGACTGCAAATAAAAGTTCAGAAGTTCAAGAAATCTATCTACGTCAGTTCCACAAAGTTTACAAAATTCATTCTCACCATAGCGTTGAATGCAGTCTTCCACCTCCTTGCACAAAATCTCCTGAGGTAGGGAATAAAATAAGATCTTAACGTTTACGGAAAAAGCAGAGGCACTTTGGGGACACCCACTATATAGAAAGTCTAGGACGTTCTGGGGTTTTCTTAAGATGAACAGATGAATGGTCAGGGCTGTAATATGAATTTGCAGATACCTTCCAACAAGTTTTTGCAAGGAGGCACGCTTCGATACGATGACCCAAAAAGTACGCGATTCCTTGTGGGTCTTTGCAGTTCCTTTGAGGGTCTTGGCGAAAACAGCAGGGCTAATAGTGAGCCCTGCTGTTTCGCACAGCTTCACAGCTTCTCGCTTTACTTCTGCCAGAGCTACTTTTGGCAGTTTCCTGAAGCTCCCTGATAACGCCACTGCCACCTTTTCCTCATGGAGCGGTTTAAACCAGGACAAATCCTCCTTCCTTGTCAGACTGCAGCAACTTGATGATTGCTTTTTTAAGAGCAGACACTACATGCTGAATTTCTGAAGTTCCTTCTCTCATGGGTTCCTTCGGCAGACACTTGACTCCCAGTTGGATGCAGCTCTCAAGTTCATCAGTTTTTGTTCTTCCTGAAGCTTGCAACAACAGAGTCAAGTGTCTGCCCAAGAAACCTATTAGAAAAGGAACTTCAGAAATTTGGCATGTCGTGTCAAGTGTTTACAAGTGAAATAGCACTTGCCACATCAGGCTTTTTTTCTTTCTTTCTTTCAGCTTTTTTTCAGAGTTACCTAAATGATGCATTCGCTAAATTGCAATGAAAACCCTGTACACCTGCCACGGCCCTCTCCATCAGTGAAAAATACCTATTGAAAAATGTGTCTTTGCTTGCATTAGTTTTTCCGGACTAGCCAATTTTTCGGATGTTTTCATGGTCCCTTGAAGGTCTGGGAAATTGGATGTCGACTGTGGCTGTAGTCACGCTTAAAACACTCATAAAAATTACAAAATGTGGTTCTTAAAAGACTATAACTACCGTCATCTAGGGTTGAAAACTGCTAGCAAAGCAATTGAAGACCGTGATGCATCTTTGGAAGCGGAAGGAGGGAAAAATCGGACGTGACGAGTGTGAAGTAGGCGATATCGGTACAAACTTGTGTGTGTGACAAGCACAGCTTGGGGTTGGCAGTTAAAGGGTTAATACGGCGTGAAGGATTTTCACCCTTCTCATTGGCTAAGTGGTTTGTAGCCTCCACAGTGCTGAAGATGGTGTATACGTGCAATTTGGTAGATTTCTGAAAAAATGTGCATGCTATAAATTGTCATCTCCTTCAACTTTCAACGTAAACATATAATAATTAAAACTAGTTAGTGAGTTTTTCTTAATTACCCCTTTCAATGTAACATTAGGTGTGCCAAAGTTTTTCCACTTTAGTGTAGAGTTCATTTTTGAAGATGACGGAGGTCTGAAACTCGCACCATGGTTATGAACAAATCTATATTGTCTAGAAGAACACCCTGTACATGTATTTCCTTCAGGCACCATGTGCACAATTGTACACATCACCTTCAGAAGTGTGTCACGTGTTTCTTGAAATGACTCAGTGGACACATTCATACAGGCCTCCTGAGTGAATAACTTTAATTTCATTATGATCTGTGTTGCTGCAGAGGATAGCTTTGCTGGAAATACCTTGTTCGACGATAGTTCAACGTGCCATGTTCCAGGACCAATGTCAAGAATATTTCTCGTTCTTTGCTTCAAACAAGTACAGCTAATAACAAAATGTGTGTGCATTTCGAGCATAATATGCTGCTATTTTTATGCAAAGATTTAAGCTGACAGGTTGCAGGATAATTAGATATTTAGTTACATGTTAATAACATTAATTACTGAAACTCATTCAGAACACTACATTCCTCCATTTTCTTTCTCGGAATGTAATGTTGAGTGCCTTAGAATCACGCTTTGGGATATTAGAAAACAAGTGGAAAATAAAGGGCTCATTTCGTTAGACACAGTTCTAATGAGAACTCACAATGATGCCAAGGATGTATAAAGAATGTTATGAGTGGTAATTGTAATGTAAATGAGAAGAAAAGAAAAATTGGGTGAAAAACTTATGTGCCATCGGCAGGGATCTCTGGCGACAATGTGTTATCTTTTTATCCAGTTTTCTTTCTTCACAATTACATTACAATACTAGTAGTAACATTCTTTATACATCCTTGGCATCATTGTCTGTCAGTTCTCATTAATTCCATGTAAATTGTCCAGTTTTCTTTCTTCACAATTACATTACAATACTAGTAGTAACATTCTTTATACATCCTTGGCATCATTGTCTGTCAGTTCTCATTAATTCCATGTAAATTTAATACATTTGTATACAGCGCATGATTATTTGTCCCTGAAGGGGACACTATATTTACGTGTTACGTGAACCTCCTATTGTTTACTAAATCACAATTTTGTGTTTTTTCCCTCTCTGGAACAGAAATTTTTTCCTTGGAGCTGGCATTGTCATCACTGCAACGTCACTTTATGGCATACCACTCTTCAAATAGTATTACTTGCCTACTTGGTGTCGTGAAGCTTCAGTCAAGTCGGAAGAGCCAAAAGGACATTTTGCTCTCTTTGCTTCAGCCCAACACTGAAAAGGACATCATCTATCTACTACACAAAACAGCTCTACAGGCTGAAATGTATTTATTACGCGAGAATCTTGCTGCTTTTTTGCAGTCAAAGAATATTGCCCCACACTTCGTCAGCAGAATTTTGGTGTTTTTCCATTACCAGCAGTTTATGTACAGTGTGTAATATAGTGAGCTTGTCAAATCTTCTTTCATGAACCTCTAGTGTTGTGCAATCATCATTGTCCTGTCACCGATGTGACTGAAAAGAATTTGCAGTTGCCTTGGCTGATTGCAACCTTGAATGAGGAGTTGTTTCAAATGCAAAGGGCATTAACTGTGCATAAGAAAGAGTCAAGTAGCGCAGGTGCTGTTGCCGAAACTGCTTTTCAACCATCAAGCCTATGGGCTCAAATGTGTATACTTATGCCACAGAAAGAGAAAAAAAAGCAAAAACAAAATTTACTAAAGCAAATAAAGCAAAGGCTAGGTATCTGCCAGTTTTGTTTTTCTTTTTTTTTTTCAAATATGAAACCAGCTTATACAGACTGTCATTTCTACTGTAAAATGTTTTTTTTTTCTAGTTTACTGATGAGTAATAATTGTTGGGGTTTAACGTTCCAAAATTACCATGTGATTATGAGAAGCACCATAGCGAAGGGCTCTGAAAATTGCAACCACCTTGGATTCTTTCACTTAAGTGTAAGCATGTGAGCCTCACATTTTTACCTCCATTGAAAATGCAGCCGCTGCAGCTGGGATTCGATACTAAAACCTGCGGGTCAGCAGTGAAGAACCATAACTACTAGATCATTGTGGCTGGTCTAGCCATTGCGTTACTCCTTTATTGGGGTAATTTTAAATGTACATGCTTGCCTACCCTTTGACGTTTGGTACATGCAAGTTAATGTCCAAAGAAAAACAAAAGCTTGACAGTAGCGTTCTAAGTGTCAGATGGTGGATCATGACAAAACAATGTGGCAGAATGCACTTAATAGCACCGATGTGTAATCTCTGAGTGTTGAGAAATCACTTGACAGAAAATGTCATAAGAGCTAGCACTCAGCTAGGGGACTTGCTTTATTCAGGCTCCAACTCAACACAAGTTGCTGAAACAGCTTCATCGACATTCCTTGTTGAATGATTGCTCATTGTTTCATTAATTCCCTGAATGTCGGCTTTGTTTGAATCTCTTTGAATGAAGGAAAGAAATGAAAATCTAAGGGCTCAGCTTTCTTTTTTAGATGCAATATTAATGAGAACTAACAGGCAATGATGGCTAGGAAAAAAATTGTCATGTAGAGGTGAAAAAAGTCAGGTGTATGAAAACAGCCCCGCCGCAGTGGTTTAGTGGCTAAGGTACTCGGCTGCTGACCCGCAGGTCGCGGGTTCATATTCCGGCTGTGGCGGCTGCATTTCCGATGGAGGCGGAAATGTTGTAGGCCCGTGTGCTCAGATTTGGGTGCACGTTAAAGAACCCCAGGTGATCGAAATTTCCGGAGCCCTCGGCTACGGTGTCTCTCATAATCATATGGTGGTTTTGGGACGTTAAACCCCACATATCAATCAAATCAATCAATCAGGTGTATGAAAACATAACTTGCTACGGCTGCGAGCAAGCCTGTGACTTTTGACTAATGCACGGCCGATGGTCGACCAACTGAGCTGCAGTGGCGACTATTCCCCCTTCCACTTTATGTGGTACATGTGTGCATTTCAACCTGGGAGTGAGCAGCACAAGTTACCATGATGGTGAGTGTGGAACACTTTTTTTTTTCTGCCTGCTGGCATCACGAAGCACGTGAGCTTATTACGAGCTAGAAGCTGACAAATAATCCCTCACATACTACCTGGTGACATTAAATAATGGAGAACGAGGCCTTCGCTATGAATTAAGCAAACAAGTAAAAACTTAAAAGGCTCATTTTTTTTTGTTAGACACAATATCCCCTACTGTAGCAGTTGCTACATTTATGTTTGCAACTTATTTATACTAGTTGTGTCAACTTGTGGTCAAAAGAGAGCAAGATAGCAATAGCAAAGAGAGCAATTGCTCATTGAATGAACTTAACCTTCTCCATGGTCAGTATGTCCTGACTTGACTTCAGTGTGATGTTTATGATTGTTGATATAATATGTGGGGTTTAACGTCCCAAAACCACCATATGATTATGAGAGACGCTGAGTGGAGGGCTCCGGAAATTTCAACCACCTGGGGTTCTTTAACGTCCACCGAAATCTGAGCACACGGGTCTACAACATTCCCGCCTCCATCAGAAATGCAGCCGCTGCAGCCGGGATTCGATCTTGCAACCTGCGGGTCAGCAGCCGAGTATCTTAGTCACTAGACCGCTGTGGTGGGGCATTTATGATTGTAGTCGATCACTTTGTGTGAAGGCACTACTGTTGAGGCAAGCTCGTTGGTACAAATCTATTAGAAGACAGAGCGCTTAAAGTACATAAAAAGACAGACAAAGTGAGTCAGTGCATGTTGGAGTCCTTGTGCGTGTGTTTTTGTGTACCTTAAGCTCTATGTATTCTAATGGAGGCACTATGTTGTTTGACGGGTCGTTTAACGTGTCGCGTTCGAGAACCAACATCAGAAGTATTAATTCTCTTTTCTCGCAATGAATGCAACCGAAAATTGCACACGCATTTGGAGCCTATATGCTCATTTTTGTATCAAAAGAAGAAATAAATATTTATGTATGCTAATTAGAATTAATTACTCAAGCTCACAGCAAACAGCAAATTGCTTCATTTTCTTTTTTGGAATGTAATATTGTGAGTGCCGTATTATTATACTATGTGAGTTTGACACATTCGTTGACGGTGCACCATAATTGGTGCCAGAAATGGTTAATAATGCGAACTAACTAACAGTACAGGCATTAGACAAAGTGCATTTTGGGTAAAGAAAAAATAAATGCTCAAAAAGATTCGATAATAATGAGAACTAACCGACATTCATGCCAAGAAAATGGTATCATTGTCTGTTAGTTTTCATCAATATTGAATCTCTTTGAGCGTTTCTTTTTTTTTTCTTTATCAAATAAACCCTCGACTAGAACTTCGACTTCCATCCAGACTTCGTCGACGTGAAGCTTCGCTTCTTTGTCACCTTTTGTTGGGGGTTGCCGTCACAAAAGCATATAGAACCCTCATCGGATTGACCAACAATGCGGAATGCGACATCTGCTGCGCCAAAGAAGACATGGACCATCTGATATGCCATTGCCCTCGATTTGTCTCCGAAAGACAGAAGCTTTCGGACGCATTGCGACAATTGGACGATCGGCCACTCTCTATGCAGATGCTACTGGAACACCGTCCTCGCCTTTCGTCGGCTCAGAAAGTAGTCAAAGCTGTCTTGTGGTTTTTGAGGACTACAGGCCTACGTGACAACCTTTAACTTTTGTGTAGTGCCACCGCTGGATACGCGCCAGCCGATTGACTGACAATCCTTTTTTTTTCTCTCTCTCTCTTTCTCTTCTCTTTCCCCTCTCTAATCTTTATGCTCCCTTCCCATTCCCCCAGCATAGGGTAGCAAACCAGGCATGTGCCTGGTTAACCTCCCTGCCTTCTCTCTTGTTGTTCATCCCCCCCCTTCTTTATCCAAAATGCACTTTGTCTAATGCCTGTACTATCATTAGAGACAACTGCAAACTTCTGTTTAAGTACCAGCAGCACTTGTGTGTTTTTTATTCTTTGTGCCGTGTTCATTCAATTTTCACTCATTCTAGATGGCAGTAAAAGTCCTGCTCAGGCATAGCCACCTCATAATAGTGTCAAAGTGTTTTATGAACTACAAAGCTTTATTGAAGCAGTCCTAGTCTGTTCAGTGAGTTAATGTTGTAGCCTTTGTGTTAGCATAGTTTTTTGTTTTAATCCAAACAGCGTTACAAGAATTGTGAATTTTATGCGCGTTTTACGCTAGTTCATTTCGACTGCTTGTTTATCCAAGGGCTGTGTACATGATCTCCAACCTGTGATTTTGTAAATATTGATTCTGCTGTAAAGACGTAGGTCTTGTACTGTCATCATGCTAAGGAAGACATTTAGACTATGTATTAGTTCTGTAGCAGACGTTCATCTCCATGTTGTGCTAGTGAAAGTTTCAAAGTATTTTACTATGCTGTGAAAGGTCCAAAGAATAAAACTTTTTGGCAGGATTATTTACCTCATGACTGTAATGTATTGTACTTCATGGAGGCAGGGGCATAGCCAGAAAATTTTCTCGGGGGGGTGGGGGGTTTATTCATGCTTCTTTTATATATGCATATGTGTGTGTGTGTGTGTGTGTGTGTGTGTGTGTGTGTGTGTGTGTGTGTGGGCGTGCGTGCATGTGTGTGTGTGTGTGTGTGTGTGTGTGTGTGTGTGTGTGTGTGTGTGTGTGTGTGTGTGTGTGTGTGTGTGTGTGAGCATAATTAAAAATTTTTGGGAGTTTCGAACCCCCAAACTTTCCTCCTTGGCTACTCCACTGCATGGAGGTATTGTAAAATAAATATGTTTTGTAGTGAGAGCTACATTGGCCATATTCTCACTGTGGCCTGTGGCTGCACCACGAGTTGAGCTGTTGCCACTCGCCATGCCATCTGGCAATGACGTGAAAAGAGGAACCGGTGAAACCACGTTGCAGCAACAGAGGAGGAGCCAGCTTTTCATCGGTGGAATTCATCGACATATATGAAAGGTGAATCAAAGACACTGAAAGAAACCAGGCTTTGCCATTGGGATTATGCCAGGAGGAGGCAGCGAGATGGAGGAAAAATGAGCCGCAAGCCTTGAAAAGTGTAAGCGTGCAGAGAAACAAGCTGAATAATAAGATTAATCATACCTTTCGCTACACACACCCAGGTATAACTGAGTTAAGCCACAGCCAATTTTTTACCTCAGTGCTTGAACTAATCTGTACATTGTTAAAGTGTCTTTGAATGAAATAAAGAAGTGAAATATTGGTGGCTCATTTGTCATTGTTAGACACATTAATGAGAGCTAACAGACAATGATGCCTAGTAAACTGCAGAGGACTTTATTGATAGAGGACAGAAAAAGAAAGGAGGGAGCACAGTGCATTATAACAAAAACGCCGACCAAGGCAAAATATGCAAAAAGTTCAAAAAGTTGTTTTGGCTTCCTGCACGAGAGCATTGTTCACAATAATGCACACTTAACGTCTCTAGCCAACCTCCTCTGAAGCTGCTTGCTCCTTGCGTTCATGCCGAATTCCCATCCTGCTCCTGTTTCATTTCCTTTTTTGGTGAGCTTGTGAAGAAAAACGAAAATTCACAAGCGTGTGCTCCTTGCATCCACTAGCCAATCTTCTGAGACGCCGCTTGCCCCCCCCTCCCCTCCTTCTTCATCTAGGGGCACACTTCGCAGTATGCTCCTCTCATGTTTAATGGCTGGGTTTCAAAATTTCCTTGCCATGCTCCCTCCTAGTTTTTTTTTTTTTCCTCTCCGTGATGTCATTAGTAGTGATTGTAATGTAAGTGTAAAGAAATAAAAGTGGATAACTTGCTGCTGGCACGAACCAAACCTGTGAACTTCGAATAACATGGCCGATAGTCTACCAATCGAGCTACAACTGCACTGCGCAGCCATCCCTTCG